CAAATGAGACATGAGATAAATGCAATATATCTTGACTTACATAACTCATTGTCAAAGGCAACACAGGGCAATATGGCCCTGGTGAAATGAAAGACAGACCAGAAAACAACTTAAAGTACCTCTGTCAGTAGCTCATTGCCAGACTGGGATTCCAGATGAAGTGGTCCTGCAGGATTTTGCATCATGACTCATACTATTTAATGGTTACCCTAACAGTCTGGATGATGCAGTACAGTTACAAAATGTGAGGATGACATCAGGCTGGGAGATCTTGTAAGCACATGGGAAGATGGGGGTAGAATTCAAATTGATCTTGAGAAATTGGACAAATAATAGGAAATCCATACCAGGTAATTCAATAAGGGCAAATGGAAAGCATGGCAAAATCAAATGCCCAGGCATGGAAAGGTGAGTAACAGCCTAGGAATCAGCCCTGTAGGAAAGGAGCTGACCGCAAACTGAATAGGAGCCAAAACTTCGATGTGTGGCTTGTTGCAAAGGAGGAAAATGCCATTCTGTGCTGTATAAACAGAGTGTTGGGCAAGTTGCTCTTGTCACGTATGTGAAGCACTTTTACTGGCATCCTCAGCACAGAAAGGCAGTGCATCACAGCTTAAAGAAGATACAGACTCCAAAAGTACTGCCAGGAAGACAGCAAGAAATTTGAGCAGAGGTCTGGAAAAACAGGACTTCTGAAAAGGCTAAAAAATTGTGTTTGCTGAATCTGGTAAAACAAGATTTGGGGAAGGCCATAAAAGCAGACTTTAAAAAAGGATAACACGTACTAACAGGTACAATAGGAAGAGAGGTGATCTACTTTTCTTCTTAGTTTGTGGGGACAGGCGAAGGTGCAATAAACCTTACTTGAAGCGAGAGGGATTTAGGTTACAAGCAAATTGAACCTCGAAGGACAAGGTGAATGAAGAATTGGAAGAGATGACTGATAGAAACTATGAAATCTTTTTTTCAGCCTTTAAAAAGTTTGAAGGTGGAACCTGTTTAGGTGACCTTTAATCTTGTATCAGAAGCAAATACAGAAAGAATTTAGAGAAGCCCTACATTTCTATAACCCTGAAATGAATACAAAATCATGTCTTAAAATGTAAAACAAAAGATTTAAGTGCCCATTAAGTTGTGTCTTCCTCTATAATTTCTTTGGGCCTTTTTGCCTCTTCCCCTCCTTCTCTTTTTGGCTGAATCCACAAGTGCTGTGAATTGCCTCTACTGTGTAAGTACTCAAATAAACCAGTCAGTTTTACTAAGGGGGAGAGAGAAGCCTTGTCAGGCATGGATAATATTTTTAAGCTTGTGTGAACATAACAAATGAACCCTAAAGTGATCAGTGCTTCTCATTATAATTAGGAAAAAAGAGGAAGAAAAAGCCTCATGCTTTTCTTGATCATCATAAGAAATTGTCTTTTCAGGAAAGAGATAATCATCCGGTGCTTGGCTACAATTTCTGTACTGTAAGGCTAACTGGGAACAAAGCATTGACTCCAGCTGCACTCTGATTGTCCCCATGGGCCTCCACTTCTAAACCAGCAATAATTTCATGACAGGTAAATCAGATCCAGAGCCTTGTATGCTTAAATGGCATTCTTTTAGCTTATCTCTTAAAGCACAAGACTGTACTCTTCATCTTGGAGCATAAGGACTTTTGTGTTGGAAACTACTCTGTAATCTCCCTAACCATGCTGAACTGTCACCTTACTTCATAAAATGACCATCAAACGATGTTCTATTGACTGAAAAAGGGCTTCTGTTTCTGCATGCACTAATTGATACTTTATTAAAGTCTAAGTTAGCATACAAAAGTGATAACTAGGCCAAATTCCCTGCAGCTTTGAAAAAGACCATTATTCCCCATTACCTTTCAAATCCCTGTATAAGAAGATAAGGACAACCTACCCACTCCTCTCATTGATTCCTACCTCAGAGTACAGGTTCACAGTCCTTGTATCCAAGCAAAAAAATAATTATCTGACCCTTCCTATTAAGTACAACATATTTTCAATAAAACAATGTTTGAACCCTGGTGACTCCATCATGATTTGCTGTACAACATCACTGGGCACAGTAAGGCACTCCTCTTTGCATTAGTCAGTTAAGATATAAAAGAGGCCCTAGCTATTTCTGCCTTTAAAAAATTGATCGACTCTTACTGCAAGAGTAGAAATGTTCTTTTTCATGTCCTATAAACTCACTTTTCTGTTTATCTAAATCTATTTAAAGCTGGCATAAATTCTCTCAATTTTGGACTATGCAGTCGTACAGTGACGCTCTGCATTATTGCATTTGATATTGGATTTGCCATTTTTCAATGTGAAGCAAAGTGTTTCAATGTGCATAAGACCAAACTTTCCCAAAAAAGCTTCTGGCCTAGTACCTAGATTTGTGTAGATTTTGCACAAGGCAAATCTTACTTGCTTTGCTTATTTGCACCTTCCAATTGACTTCCATAAGAATACTCAGGTGAACAGAACCATGAAGATATGACCTGCTGTTCTGCAAAGACACATAAAAGACACATAAAAGAATTACACCACCTACCTCTATACTTTGGAGGGAGAAATGTAGCTTTGGCATTCAGGTAGCAGTGTTAAAAGCCTATATTATGTCATTTGTGCCCATTAGCCTATTAATTGTCTCATTAGCAGCAATGAATAACTGCAAGCACAAAATATGTCTGAAGAAACTAAAATTTTATTCAGATGCTATTTATATTACTGTGACATTTCTTGGGATCGAAGTGCAATATAAATTCATAGTATTACCTGTCAAAAACCTATCACCTCTTCTCCAGCCATTAGAATATCTTTCCTTCAATAAATACTTTTCCTGCCAATCACATGTTAATAAGCAAAATACAGTTTAAATGAGATTTTCTGCTTTTTAATATTAGAATGATCTGCACTTGCATAATATAAGAGGGCCGAGTTTCTTAATATTTCACTCATGTGAAATAAAAGAGTATATTGTAATGTAATATAATATACTATGAACTGATATAACATAATGCAATATCACATGACATATGGAAAGCACAGTGTCCGTTTTCCCTGAAAGAAATGACATACTCATGAATATGCATCATTTAATAATACCAGGAAAGGCAAAACCAACACACATGCAGCTCACATCCATAAGCACTCAGACAGCTCTGGGGTGGGGGTGGGCATAAGCCACCTTTAAGTTCACAGTTTGAGATGCAATGAAGAAATTACCAGAATTATTAAAGTCAGTTACTAATCATTTTTAGTTAAATAATTGCATTTTCATGAGGTTTAAAATATGGAAGAGGTATATTGTAAAACTCACATAGTGAAAGCATTGCAGGCTGCTGGAGAGACACAGAGGGCTGGGCTTTCCTGGCTCTGCACAGAGGCAACCTCAAGCACTGTCAGCCAAGGCTGTAACAAGGTGTTCCTCTTGTCCTGCTGTTTGTCCACTACACTCACTCTGCCCACCTGCATCTCCCACCTGCTCCAGCTGGCAGAGATGGGACCTGGAAACCCAGCTCCGAGAAGTGCCTACAAAGGGCCAAGGGTGGTCTGTGGGTTGTTGCCTGTGTTACACCCTTCTCCAGACATTTTGAAATGGAGATGAAAGACCCTCTTGTGACTGCCCTGGGCGAAAGCTGGGCACCCTGAGGAGTCTGTACACCTAGAATTTGGGCAGAGGAAAGCCCCAAGGCTGGGGGGCCCTACCAAAAATGGTCTAGGTGGGTCTCACAGCCTCCCCTGTGATAGTGCCACTCCACCATGTGTGGAAAATAGCTGACTTGGAAGCTGGAGGGTTGGTCTCGATAGAGCAGCAAACTAATCACTGCTTCTGATGCTGTGTCAGGAGTGTGAGGAGAAAAAATAGTATTTCCAGGTGCCGGATTGCTCCGTTTGTGGGGGGTTTTAACAGACATTCACCTGTCTGTGCAGGTTTGTTAAAAAATGTGGGAGCTTTTTCTTTAATGATAAAGCCCCAGCTCCATTAATTTCAGCAGGTAGACTCTGGAGCACTAGTTCCTTTTGCCATGAAAAAAAACTGAATAAAGTAGAAAAATGTGGACAGTGAATCGGAAAGCAGTATGTCAAGGACAATAAAACTTTTGATTTCTGGTTTAACATTCATTCAGTATTTCAAGAAAAGCTGTAGTGTCTGTCTAACTTTCTTAATTAGCATGAGCTTCATTCACTGTAACTCCTCTTTCTCTTCAAAGAAACACATATAATGTCACATATTCCCCATTTTGTTTTCCCATAAGGCACACTTCAAAACAACGTGCTGTTTCTGATGCAATACTATATAAATCTGATTATATTGTACATAATAAGATACACCCTAAGATAGAGCACCACATGGATATTTATTTAGAAGGACACCTTTGATGTTGCGTGAACTGAAGGATTTTTCAAATTTTACTAAAATGAAAGTGAAATTCTGTGTCACTGTAATCAATCTTGATCCATTGTAGAATCTGGGCTCTGCAGAAGTGCCATTCTAATCTACTTCCATAAGCTTCCAACTAGACAGTCAAGATGCATAGATTAGCTCTTTGAACAGGAATTTTCTGAAAGCACAAATAGAAATGTATTTGCCTAGTGCCTACTTCACAAATCAACTTTTCAATTAGAAGAGTATTACAACTTGTTTCAGAATAACATGTCCATGTCAATGTCCCTCTTAAGCAATGCATGGGTTTGAATTTGCAGCCTCCTTTAACAGATTTTGAGGAACAAGTAAGGGAATTAGTCCTGATCCTTTTATGTGGATACCAATGACTGCAACTGACAGCTACCTAATCTTTTTGAAGAACAGTTTCAGACAGCTTGTCCACATCTTAGAGAACACATCATACTCACTTGTTTCTTGCCAACACAAAAATGCAGTGCTTTCTAAATATTGCCTGTTTTGGAGCAACTCACTGTATTCAGCAAGAAGCAAAATAGGAAAGATAGTTTATGCCCTTGAGGAAAAAAAAAAAAAGAAGTAACATTGCAACATACCTTTCACTACGTTTGCACTTCTCCTGTCATTTGCTACAGCAGCTCAGTTTATAGCCTGCCTTTCTCTTGTGTGCTTCTGGGGCAGTATGGGCAACAGGCAGTTTGACAGCTCTGTCCTCTTTATAATACAACCTGCTCTAAAGAAAATAATTTATTTGTATTATGGCATGTCACAACTTTCAGTGAAAAAAAATAAAATCTCAAACGGGTCAGAACACTCTTAGTCTGACGATGGAAGAGTCTTTGTCAACTGATGTGCCAATATGTGAATGAGTCCAGTAATCCATGAGGTGGGGTGTACAGACACCATTCACTAGAAAAGATGTTGGGAGAATGTAAGTTACATGGGTGGGTGGTGGGAACAATAGAAAACATTTCATGTTGAGGTGGCTGGGAATGAATAATGTATGTATTGGGGAAACAGTTGCCCCATTCTGTGTTAGGGGGAGAGCTGGTCTGTGGGAGGTTTTTTCCTCATCAAGTTAGCATTTATAATTAATACCATCATCTGCATAGACCCAGAAGACACTGAATGACGAGAAAACAATGTGCAGATATCCAAGGGGGAACCAGTTACCAATTATATGGACCCACAAAAAAACCAGGTCGGATGCAAAAAATAATTTTTTGTGTGGGCAGGCAGGCAGATGTGCACAAATGAAACCAAAGGACCAAGAGAAATGTTAGCAGGCTACATATTCTTTTGATCTGGCATTGTTTAGATACGCCATGTAAATGAATGCTTCATCTCAACTGAACCACCCTTTCAAATTATTGTTAATTAAGTAATAAACCCTGAGAAATCTGTCATTGTCAACAGTTAGGAACTGTTTTTTTTTTTTTTTTTTTTTTTTTTTGTTTTCCCCAGGCTTTTAATACTGAAACACAATGGCCACTAATTGTAGTAAGAACTAATTTCCCTGGAATTACACACACACTTTCTAACTATCTGGTGGCACATTTTTTGGTTTTAAACTTTAGTTTTAACTTGTCTAAGTAGAGCATTGGTCAGTCAGAAAACCTATTTTTTCTGACCATCCCACAGAGAAACCATGATTAACACAAAGAAAGCTAATTTTTGTTAGCTTTTTAAATTATTAAATTTTTGTTGCAGACAACAACAACAGCAGAGCTTATAATCCCTATAAACAATGCATCAGCTCCAAATCCAGCAAAGCTAGGAAAAGCATTTTCAATCAATGCAATGAGCTTTGGATCAGTTCTGACAGTTTCTTTAAAAACAAGGCTGGAGGGGGAGGGGGTAAGTCCATTTTTTCCTAAGTTTATATTACAACTCTTCCTCTGTAGCATATTACTAATGTAACAAGAAATAATTTCTGGGATGTCAGTGACCAAAGTTTGACATTTATTCCTGTCAGCTGTTTTCAATGTAGACAAGTTAGGTGGCTATAAGAGTTATTATGAAGTATTGTTACAGGGATAAATTGAGAAAATTAATCCAGAAGCAGGGGGAAAAAAAAATCTACCTGAAATTTAAAGTGATTTGCACCACAAACACTTTTTCCCATGGCTCAGGAGGAGAATATAGGGAAAAAGCCTTAAAGAATAGCTGCCATTGTCATTGCACTTTAAAAGCATCCACATGATAATTTAAAAAGAACTGCCATTTCAGCTATTTCTTAAATAACCTCTTTCTTCCTCCATAATAATGTAATATATTTCTTTCACCTTTTGACTAGCACTTTGGTTTTTTTAATAAACTTACACACTCATTTTGCAGGAAATTATATTTCAAAATGCTTCTCAGAGGTGCTTTATCCTAACAGTTTCATTTGGGTTGAATTAGTGTTGAACCCTGATTCGCAGAAATAGAGGGAGAAGAAGAGATGGAAAGTAAGAAGGGGGGAAAAAAAAAGAAGCTTAGCTTGTACCCCAGTTCCAAACCGCACTTATCTTCACATTTCCAAAACAATCTTATGGTAACATTTATCTGTAATAACATAATTATTCTGATACTTCTAAAACACATACAGCAGCAGTGCAGTTATTTACTGGACTAGATAGTCAAAAGAGTTCTTTCCCCCTTTCTTCACCACTGCACAGTTTGTTTTCAAGCCTTCAATGGCAGTTCCCTCTTCATAGTTTTTATTCTTTTTTATTCTTTTTTTTTTATTCTTTTTTTTTTTTTTTTTTAGGTCCTCATTTCTCTTTTTTCCCCATTAAGATGCGAATGGGCTGGTACCTCATCCAATATGTCTATATGTCTATACATGCCTGAATAGACTTGCAGAAAAGCAGAGTCTCCTTTTGTCTGGGCCCGGGTGGCTGTATGTCATTCCGCACCGATAGGCAAGGGCTCCTCTCTCTGTGGGAGATTTCCAATAATTGCCAGAACAAATTAAACTGGGGCTTATCTGTTCCTCTCTCTTTTCAGCTTGAAAATGGAGGAACAAGACCAATTTTAACTGGTGACAATGCAGCATAGAAATAGATTGGATACAGCTTGTGTGAAGTCATGTTATAAGCAGCAGCGACAGGACACTGCTTTGAGAAGGGAGCTGATGTTGTGCTACATGGACTTGGCCAATCCTTCTGATCTGACAAAGAATAAAAAATGAGTTGGGAGGTTAAGTGCAGTTCATCTATTCTCCATTGTCACAGGCAGAGATGACTAAGAAGTATTTCTGAACATACTGGAGTGGACTGGGAAGCCCAGAAAAGTGGAGTGGACTGCACTGTGTAAAAAGGACAATCATGGAATATTTTGAAAAACAGAAAAGAAGTGTACAATGTATTTTGATTATTCCCCCCTCTCCCACATACACAACTCCTTCCCCCTCCTCATCCCCCGCCATGTACATCTAGTGCCTTAGTCTATGGCCACTCATCTCAAAGTGCACTCTTAACCCTAGACACAGAAATGGGGACAGTTTTGCCCTGTCTCCGTGGTGTTTGGCAGTCTGGGGCTGAAAAGGCTGTTTTAAGAGATAATATAGTTATCAGACACATATTTTCTATACCAAAGAGCTGTCATCTTCCTTTGTAGAGGAGATAAAGTGAGTTCAAAGTGCTTTCTCTAGGCAAAGACAGACTTGAAACCATGCAAAGGAAATGAATTCTTTGACAGCGTCTGACAGACAGAAATGTGAACCATCAGATTTGAAAGGGACCCTTAATTCTCAGGGCTGCTGAATGCCAATAAGAAATACTAGGATCTTCTCTTGACCAACATGATTACTGCTATCAAACAAAAATATGTCAAATGCCTTTCAACATATTGTTGTCAGTCAAGTTCTAAAAAGCCATCATTCACTGTAAAACATCTTCTCAACTACCACTCTGCCTCTGTCAAGCTCTTCCAGCCTCACAGTCAGTGAGAAACTATCATTGGAAAAAAAATTCCAGCAGTACTTAATGCTGTCAACTTTTCTTCTCTTTATCTCTCAACCTCTGGTATTCCTTCTCTATAGCAGAAAACAAAGCAGAAAGTTGTGGTACAGTCATTAATGAAGATCAGAGGGTCTAACTCCAGGTTACTGGGACTGGACACAACACCTATCAATAAGGTCACCCGTATGTCCTATCACTGGACACCAGAGAGGAGATCAGCACCTCCCTCTTTGCTTCCCCTCATGAGGAAGTCGTAGACTGCCAGGAAGTCATCCTCCAATCTTCTCTTCTCTAAGCTGAGCTAACCTATATCTAGTATCTTCAGCTGCTCCTCATAAGTCATGCCTTCTAGTCCTTTCACCATCTCTGTTTTATAACTTTCTTATGTTGTGGAGCCTAATACTGCACACTGTACTTGAGGTGAGGCCACGCCAATGCTGATGTGTAGAATATTTGGTGTAGAACTTAGGACAAGTGTTAGCCTACCACAACAAAGCACTAGGATCTTGCTTTTGTCTTTTATACAGACAAATTAATTTTAACATCACACACAAAAAGCAAAAACAAATTAAAAGAAGTGAAAACATTGGAGAAAAACCAGACAGATTGAAAAAAAGAGTTAAACACAAAGTCACATTTTTGATTTGTAATGTCAATCCTAAGAGTGGTCCTTTGACATTAATAACTTCTGTAACTTGTAAATCTTAAATAAGCAATTGCATTTCTTAAACAGCCCATATCTAAACTAATTACCTAAAGAGGTGCTATAACTTTAGAAAGTTTTAAAATGTCTCTGGAGGAAGCTATGCAAAATTCATAATGAGTTCATTTTCCATTAGGTACTCAAGAAAAAAATTAGCGAAGTGCAAGTTTTACAGTGTGATCTTCAGTTCTAAAAATTGTGAAAGTCAGCAAAACTGGAATGGCAAATCCATTCTGAACTGACTTTTTTATAGTCATAAGGCTGTGAACGCAACTTTTTCAAAAGCATGCACTTTGGAGACACTGCAGTATTTTAGTCCCATACATTCTCACTTCTAGCTATTCTTTTTGTCTGGGGTAGATATGGGCTTGTCACTCTCCAATGGATAAATGCTCACATTGGAGAGGCATATTTTTAGAGTCCAAACAGAACTCAGCTTCCCTGTTTCTGTTTTGAAAACACAGCAAAGTCAACAAAACCTACATTCCTGCAAAGAAAGTAAGATCACTTGCAGTTATAATTTATAGTCCAGAAACATCTCTTAGGAAGCACCAGTAAAGGTAATTCCATGTCTATAAAATGGGCTAGCCCATAATTTGCTTTAATTAGTGCCATGCTGGAGAAATCTTAATATGGGATAAAATTGTCCTTTCTCTTTATAAACAAGACAAATGCAAAACTAGAAAATAAACTTTTCCAGAAAGATCAGAGAGTAATCGTTTGTCAGGCAATTGCTTCAGGGATGACCTCTGAAGCAAATGCCAACATAAAGCAAGAAACAGGCAGTGCTCACAGGAGGAATTGGCACCCATCTGCCTGCCCTCTGGTGATCTGTCTTCAGAGCCTCCAGAAGCGAGGACCAACTTTGTGTGTTGTGACGCTGAATCTGCCTGTCCTGCAGGCGTGGGGTGCCTTGCCACCTGGCAGCTGGGCAGAGAACCAAATTTTCCCAAACCAGGCACATTTACCTGGCAGAACGGAAGTCTGTTAGTCCTGTGTCATCTCACTGTGGTCATTGTCAAAGGCATAAAAAGCCTGACTGCATTCATAATGAGTGCAGCAGTAGCCAAAAGTGTTTGTGCTGG